TTTTGAGTGAATAATCTTCAGTAGTTACTAAAATATCGCAATTTTCGTGTTTCCGAAAATTACCGTTATATGGGATGTGGGCGTGCTTATTTTCCGATTTTTTTAATTTTCGGCCATTTAGTATGCTGTATCAAGGCCAACAACTGTGCCAAGTTTGGAAGAAATTGGTGTAGTGGTTACCAAGATATACACATGTTACCATAAGTGGGCGTGGCTACGCCCATTTTCCAAAAATTTATACCATTCTTATTTTTCGTCTAAAAATTATTGTAAATGTCAATTTTGAATTAATAATCTTCAGTAGTTACTAAAATATCGCAGTTTTCGTATTTCTGAAAATTACCGTTATATGGGAGGTAGGCGTGGTTATTGTCCGATTTTGTCCATTTTCAATACCATCCGTCCTACGCCCGAAAGAAGTACACGTACCAAGTTTCGTTAAGATATCTTAATTTTTACTCGAGTTATCGTGTGCACAGACGGACGGACAGACGGACGGACGGACGGACGGACAGACAGTCACCGCTTAATCGATTCCTCTTTTCATCCTGATCATTTATGTATACATTTGTCTATATCTATCTCGATTCGTTTTGCCTGTTACAAACAACCGTTATGTGAACAAAGTTATAATACCCTTGTGCACAAGTGCGCTCGGGTATAAAAATTGTACCAAGCATTTGCCTGCGGCTGGAAAGTGTAGGAAGATTATTAAGTTTTAATCGGCTCGTATAAGGTGGAAGGTTATATTGAGAATCCCAACGGAAATTTCTTAAAGCAAAAAGTAGGAATTGTTTTTTAATTGATTCTATCTTGTCTGAGTACATTTGATACCTTGGATTCCAAACCACCGAACCGTATTCCGGAATTGGTCTAACTAATGTTGTAAACAGGGTTTTAGTGATATAAGGGTCACAAAATTCTTTTGACCATCGTTTCACAAATGCAAGTACACCTTTAGCCTTGTTGACTGTCACATTAATATGAAGATTAAAATTAAGCTTAGGATCCATTGTGATACCAAGGTCCACAAAATTGTATACCTGTTCCAGGTTATGGTTACCTATTGTATAAGAAGTGGGATGAACAGCTCTTCGCGAGAAGCTCATTACTTTACATTTCTTCAGATTTAGAGGCATAAGATTTACTTGACACCAGTAAGCCATGCTGTCTAAGTCTGATTGTAGCAAAGACCTTTCTTTAATTGAAACGTACGATTTATAAAGCTTTACATCATCTGCATACATTAAAATTTTGGAAAATTGTATATCTGTAGAAATATCGTTTATAAAAAGCAAGAACAGAACCGGGCCTAGGTGGCTACCTTGAGAGACTCCTGAAGTAACATCAATGGCGTCAGAGATAGTATTTTTAAACATTACCCTTTGTGATCTATCATAGAGGTATGAAGAGATCCAACGTAGAAAATTAGGTGGAAGACCAAGAAGATCAAGTTTGTAGATGAGCAACGAGTGGCACACTTTGTCAAATGCTTTACTGAAGTCAGTATATATAACATCAACAGTTTTGCTTTCACTAAATGCTTTTGAGATGTAGGATGTTAATTCGAGTAAATTTGTAGAAGTTGATTTGCCCTTGCAAAATCCATGTTGACTATATGAAATGCTAGAAAAGATGGAATGCGTCAACTGATTTGTTATAATTGCTTCAAATAATTTAGGAATTGCAGAAAGCTTAGCTATTCCCATGTAGTTCTCCTCTGAAAATCTGCTACCGCTTTTATGTAACGGGGTTATGAACGATTCTTTCCATCAACTCAGCTCGACGTTCTGATCATATAAGTATAGATTTTCATGGGTCTATCTCTTTTTGTTCTGGTGCTTACAAACATCGGACCAAAGTTATAATACCATTTCATGCTCATGAAAGGTATAATAAAAAAGAGAGAAATAAGCGTCGAAACGGGCCAATGCCAATTTAAGAAATTCCCATTTTTGCTTTTTTTCCTCAATCAAGATGGTAAGACAGTTTATTTTTAATATCTAGCGTTTGCGGCCTTAATATTTACAATTACTACTCCCCGCTGGTCACTATTGAACATGGGCGTGGTTGGATTCTGAACGGACACTTCAGTTTAGTCCATATGGTCGACCTTAACTACTTCAATATGGCGTTGGAGAAATTGATCGAGTCAACGCAGCACGAAATTAGACGCGAAGCTGTGCGTACTGTGCTGCAATTCCACCTAAACCAAACTAAGCTGCGACTTGACGATCTGCAAATAAGTAAGTCACGAAGAAGACGTTCCTTTGACTGGATTGGATCTGCATGGAAGTGGATCGCCGGGTCTCCAGATGCAGCAGATTGGGATTACATCCTCCGTAGCATGAACGATGTTGTAGTAAATAATAACCCCCAGTACCGCGTCAATGAAAAGCTCTTCAACGTTACCCGTGGAGCGATTGTGAAAGCAAATGAAATATGCTACACATCAACGCCATAAACAAAAATATTAGCTAAGAGAATTTGGAGCTTCTGCACTTTAGCAAAGTGCTAATCCTGAAGGAACAGGTATCAGAGATCGTGCAGGCGTGCCAAATGGCAAAATCTGGTATCATAAACACAAACTTACTTGATCGAGATGAGGTACAAAGACTTTTAATAGAAGAAGATTGGCAGGCATATCAAAATACCATCGGAGCGGCTTCCGTGTATTCAAACAGTAGTATCCTTTTGTACATACTATCAATACCAAAAGTCAAACCAGATGGCTACCGACTTTTAACAACAAGCGCTGCTGTCATGAGGGGACAACACGTTGAACTTAGTTACAAGAAGATGCTGGTAAACAAAGAAGAAACGTTCGGACTGAACGAGGATTGTCCTTCGATTAGCAATACAACAATCTGCTCACCCAAATCTTTAAAGAAAAACTTCCTGAAGACGGATGCCTGGCTAGATTAGTGAAGGGCGGCGATGCTAAATGCCACTTTGAACCAACAACGACGTAATTGTTGAAATGATCGCCGATGCAACAATATTTACTATAAACTTTCAAGGACCATTGAAGCGGAGAAACTGCTCCGCGGTTCTCAACGGAACATACGTTATTTTATTAAATAATGAAACGGTCATGGTGGGAAATCAAACGTTCACCAGCAAATCAGTACGCACAGTGCAGGCTTTGCCACCCGCTTTGGTAAACGTTACAATTGATGGGCTGAATTTAAATCTGGATTACATCCACGGGCTCAACATAGAAAATATTCACCATCTAAAGCAACTTGGTAATAATTTTCACTTCTCCTTAATTTGTGACGCTATTGCCTTGACAATCCTGGCAGCCGTGTGCTACATCATCTGGAAAAAACTTACGAGTACAATCAACTTTCGTAGGCTAAACCAACAACAGGATCAGCCAACTACCCACACCAAAGATCCTCTTCAAAAATCGATTCATCAGCGGGACGCAGATGTTTAAAGGGGGCCAACACACTTACTAATGTGAATGTGCTGACGCCGCACTTCGTCAAACACGCGCGTAGCCAATGCAGGTAATTGACCTGCAACGTAAGCGATACCAATTGGTTTTATGCAACCAAAATGCAAATCGTGGGAAGCGCAACGTCAGCAACTAATCAATTAATTCGGGCCGTTAGATACTTAGCGATAGCTTTAAGTAATATTTTGTATTCATTATTATCCTTAGGGAAACCAACTTTAATTTTTTCGGACACGCTCCGCGTGTTCGTTAATTTATATACTAATTTAAAATATAAATCATGTATATACGAAAACAAAAATTTCCCTCTCCACTTTCCCCTTAACAATTCACAATAGTGCAGTTTTTCACTTATAAACACTACCCTTTCGGTCGCTTATTTTTTAACCGACCTTGCTGAGCTCGGGTAAATAGCCGAGTTTGTGTTGTTGCTTTGCATTTATTTCATCATTTAAGCGAGTGTTCTTTTTTAGCTCGGTTGCAAAAGAATGCACCTATTGACGATCCACCACAATTCATTTCTACAACTACGCATGATATGTTACAGGCCAAACCCGATCTTAGGACAAACTAGTTTTTCCTAGGCTGAACTAGTCGGCGTGGCACAGTGTTTTTGCGCGGAATACCTTTCCGTGTAGTCGGCCTTCGGCCCCACTTCAAAAAAATAGCCCTCATCAGGACAAATCTAGGTACGCAGTCCACAATATTGTTGTGTCCAACTTGTTTCCACATTGGACGGATATATTAAGGAAAAAAAAGTTTGCCCTAAGATCGAGTTTGGCCGGTAACATATACATACACATATACACATCGTCAATAGACTCGAATAAAGGCGCGCTAGTGTTACGACGGCGAAGAAAGACGCGTAAAAAAAGTTTACGAAAAATGACGCTTAGGAAAACTTCGGCGAAGAAAGACGCGTAACCTAATTGACGGCCAAGAAAGACGCGTAATTATAGATTTATATTAGGCCAAGAATCAGCATATTTTTGGGGAGTTATTATTCTGTTACATCCGCAAATATAGTAGTTGACCGCGAAAATAAGTTTGCTCGTTTTTCTTTGCCGTCAAATATTTTAACGCGTCTTTCTTCGACGTGAACTATGTTAAGAGTCTTTCTTCGCTGATGTTTTTTTATACGCCTCTTTTCGAGGTACACTTTTGAGCTCGCGCCTTTATTCGTGTCTGGTGACGATATATACATCTGAATACTAACGTTTGGGTATGGTTTTGTTGAGCACCTTAAATGACTGTTCCACTAAGTAGAAATATTGGCCACGCTTTCTTTCAAGATTACTGCGATTTCACAACCTCCGAACTACCGTAAATCAAGTTTGACATACATATGTACATATGTATGTCATGACTAACCTCATAGCATTTAATTGGCCACCATGCAAATCAACTTCCGGATACCAATTTTAAAAATTCTATATTGATTGTACTAAAATGCTTGTAAAAGTCTATAAATGTAGCAAACATAATATAAAGAAGTTAATTTTCCGCTTTAACTGTAGTTATAATGTTTTTTTTTCAGAATTACCTTTAATGCGTTAAGTTGTATGCCTCATCTTGCGTATGTCAGCATCAGTAATTATAACATTGCCAAACGACTCAGATTCCTTTGCGGAGGATCCAAATACTGAGGACAGCGGTAATCTTTTAACGGAACTGAATGGAGTCGACTTGGTTATGAGTCTCTCCCCAAAAATATCCCCTACAGCACCAATACAAGCACACCATCAACTGGAGCAACAATTATTAAAGCATAATATTTCGGTGGGACCACCTCCACATGCTGCTTCGGCAGCAGCAACTACAGGGGCTCATCATAATAACTTTTCTAATATTTACCATATGCAAGGTTTACATAATCAGCATCATAGCACCATATTCAATAGCAACCATTCCACGCCATTTAGTGTAACTGACATATTAAGTCCAATTGAAGAATCTTATCGGAAACTGGAGTTAAATTGCAGCCCTCCTTCGCCCTACAGGTAACTGTAACACTGTGATACGAAATTGACGTTCATGTCTCCGTATTTGATACAAGTAATTTTTAGCAAAAAAAAATCCGACTTAAAAAAAAAATATATATCTATATATTTCTTGATTAAATTATCGGATCTAAACCAGGATCTCAGAGTACCACCTCTGAGACACTACCTTTCCGTTGCAAAAAGAATTATCGATATCGGTTGACGTGGCCCAAAGTTATGCGTTGTTACATACATAAAAAAAGAAAATATCCCGCGAACAGATAACCTCCTCCTTTTTTGGAAGTCGGTTAAAAACTAAAAGGAAATGAAAGCTTACACTTCCCATTGAAAAATCCCGAAGGGATGTTTAGCCTCTAGATATGGTTTTTTATGCGCATCAAAAGTTGCTGACCCCGTATACAGGAAAAATTGAGTAAAATTCGATCAAATAATGAAGTTTTTCTGGAAATTTATAGTATATTACTCACTAAAACTTACGCTAGGTCGCGCTGTGGTACAGTCTTTACTTTCTTTTATGGGTTTTTATCGAAAAATAGTATTTTTACTGTTTTTAAGGCTGAGGAATCCATTATTTATGCCAGTTTCATTGTTTTTAAAGTTATGCTAGAAGATCATTGCATTATTTTTGTTAAAGACAGATAGCATTGTCGTGTTAAAATGTGCTTATGTGAAATTTTTTATGAAAAAAATTACATTTTTATAGTGACAAAGACTTTGTTAATTAAAAAATATTTCTTACTTTTTATTTAGACCTAGAAAAATTATGATATGAAAGTACTCAAGAAAAATGGCTAAAAAATTATGTAAAAAACTAACAATTTAGAACTGTATTTTTTCAACCCAACTTAACACTAAACTCATTACTTTTACTTTTGTTTACACGCAGTGCTAACGACAGCAGCAAAAAAAAATCTTAGCATTAGGGCTGTTCAGCATCTTGTGCATATGCTCTTGTATTTTCATATTCGTTGCGTTTGTAAATTCACAACGATATAATCCACACGGTTGCCATGGCAGCCAGCATAAAATTTGCAAATGAAATTCCAACTGCAAATCCAATACCATTTCCACAACATCCTGAACATCCCTATTGTGTTTTTGTGTATTGTGAAATAATTTAATTAAAAATCAATAACTGTTTGGAAAATTTGCGATATTATTGTTACGTTTGTGGGAAACTTAACATAGTAAGCAGTCTGACTGATATAAGCAACAGTGTGAAAGAAAGGTATATGGAATATTTTAGTATGCCAGAACTTTCATAATATAATTTTTTTAAGGTATATATAAAAAACTTTGTAGTTTTAATAGAATACAATATTTTCTAATTAGGAGTCTTTTTACCTATAAAAATTTTATTTTTCCTTATAAAATATTTCACATAAACACTTTTTATCACGATAACACTTCCTTTTTCAACAAACATTCTTTTTAACATCTATCATAACTCTTAGAATTAGAAATAGAGAATAGAATAAATAATGCAGTACTCAGCCTTAAAAACAGTAAAAACACTATTTTTCGATGAAAAACCATAAAAAATAGCAAAAATTTTACCACAGGCCCACCCAGCGGTGGTTTTAGGTAAAAAAAACATTACAAATATATTCTCGACCCAGAAAACAGTAGTATACCATAACTTTCCAGATTAGTTTTATTATTTGATCGAATTTTACGATTTTTTCCTGTATGCAGGGTCACCAATTTTAAATACGCATGAAAAATAAACCAGATCTATAGGCTTAAAATCCCTTGGGATTTTGTTACGGAAAGTGTGAACTTTGATTTACTTTTGGTTTCATTAATTACGTAGTATCTTCTTGCACTTTGTAATCATGAAATGAATGTACTGAAAAAAAAAATAAAAAAAAACTATATTCAGTTTATCAATATTTAAAGTATTAAGACAGCGAACTTTGTAGTATATTACGGAAAATTAATGTATGTACATATATGTATACACTTGCACATTACAACTACCCCCATTAAAAAGTAAAATATATTGAGCATTTGCAGGATTTTACCTAGTATTCCTGCAGGAAATGGATCTAACTATAAGCTAACTTTAAGTTGATTAGGAAGGAGCGAAAAGTCATTTATTATTTGTATATATTCTTTGACTATATTTCTATGGCGATGGCCGCGAAATAGTCAAGGGTGGTTACCCCTGCATTAGATGTAGTCAAGGGTGGTTCTCTCTGAATTTGATGTAACTAACTTGTAACTAACTACTTTTGGACATAAAATATCAACAGGAAAAATTTTATTTTTATTTAATTTTTTTTATTTACTTTATTTTTTACATTTCATATTTGTTCCCATATTCTGCTGTAGGTGGTCCCATATTCGAACTCCGTGAGTATAACTTCAAAATGATAATATGAAATTTCGATCCTCCTTTTATTTGTCCTCAATTCGAAAAAGTATTTGCAGGATATTTAAATAGAAACGCGTTTAAAGAAAACAGTCTCCTTCATTACTCCTGCACTACTTGTCAACTAGTTTCAAGTTAACTTTTTGTAGCTAACTGCGGGTTATATATTTTATAGAAATCCCGCAAAAAAGCTAACTACAAGTGAGTTATTTTTTATCAATTGATAATTTTTTTCTGCTGGAATGTCTTGCACGTATACACCATACCATGCAAGGAATGTTACTATGTAGAATACTGCTAGTTCATCTACTATCCTCTTTCCATGCTAGCAACTGGCATTTTGAGCATGGCGTTGTCTCACCAAATGTAAATTGTAAGACTATGCATCTGGATTAGCCAGTAGAAATACCAATAGCGTCATACCAGCTGACGGTATAGTCTGCCTTCCCATCAGCAGTTAAAAAAAATGTATGATATTTTGCGGTGACCAGATTTTTGTGGACGAAAATCGGGTTATGTCTAAAGCTTCGAATCCAAAATATAATTTCGTTTTTAGGATACAATTACATAATATCTTTTAATATAGTTTTATTTAAGGCAAAACAAAAAAAAAATACTTGAAAAATGATCGCAAAAATGTATACACACAATAAATGTGGTGGCGAGAATGTAAATAGGAAAAGCTATTGGCGTTGTTTCGAAGAGTGCGGACGTGTTTTTAAGTTCGCTCCGTAGTCATTAAATATTGTGCTATTTAATAAAACAAAAAAAAAATAAAAAAATAAATAAATAAGTAAGTAAAATAAACAAACAAACCAAATGAAAACAGAAAGCGATGAGTCAAGCTGAAATCCGAGCTCAGAAGCAACGCGAGCAAAATGAGCGCCGGCTTTCAGTTCAACGCAACAACGCATATTTCTCTATTCGGTCCCAGAGTGACAGCGAAAGCGCAAAGCCCAATCCATCGAAAACCCTCGAACCCCCTCAAGATTCAGGTCAGCGGACTTGTCCTCCAAACTTACCATTGACGACTCCGATGCCTTGGAGTGAAGAGTGCGCTTCACCTGTGCCGTATCACATTTTACGCCCAACGCTTACATCAAATTCGGTAAGCGATAACATATCCCCAAATATAGCGGCAACAACAACTAGTACAGTGACATGTTTCACTACCTCTATCGCGCCAACAACAACAACAAACACACCGGTACCTGCCGACTGCACAGCGGTGTCAACAGCCCGGCCTATTCTTGCTGCACAAGCACAAATTAACTTGAGTGCAAGCACTGGCAACAAAGGTAAAGCGCAAGAAAGGTTGAAAAACGAAACAACTAAAAATGCGGCCATACAGACTGGAATGGACCGCTATGTTACAATGAAAAGAAAACTTAGTCCGCAAAATTCAACGGGCAGTAAGACAAAAATAAACCGCCTTACCTCAACTCAGCAAGTCAGTACGAATAGATTTGCACTGCTAAGTGACAATGCCGATGATGTGAATAGCCAAATTTCTGAAGGTGCTGCAAAAGCTACTAATGCCAAACCTCCGCCCATTTTTATAAGAGAAGAGAATCCAAGCGCTCTTGTAAAAAAATTCACACAGCTAATCGGTAGTAATAAGTTTCATATTATCCCACTATCTAAGGGAAATATTCGCGAAACTAAAGTACAAATTTATTCCGAACAGGATTTTCGAACAGTGTCCAAATACCTGAATGACACAAACACAAAATTTTATACATACCAACTTAAAAGTGCAAAAGGTCTACAAATTGTAATTAAAGGTATCGAACCAAGCGTTGAAGCTGTGGAAGTTTTGGAAGCACTTAAAGAACAAGGTTTCAATCCAAAAGCTGCTGTGAATATTTTTAATAGGAACAAAATCCCTCAACCTATGTTTAAAGTTGAGCTCGAGCCTGAAAACAAACCTCTGGGCAAAAACGATGTGCATCCAATTTATAAATTACAATATCTGCTGCATCGTAGGATAACTGTGGAAGAACCGCATAAGAGAAATGGCCCTGTACAATGCACCAACTGCCAGGAGTATGGTCATACTAGGTCTTACTGCACGCTTCGCTCAGTGTGCGTAGCTTGTGGAGAGCTACATGTCTCTGCCACTTGCACATCAAACAAAGAAGATCCGCGTGCAAAAAAAATGTGGTAACTGCGGTGGAAATCACACAGCAAACTACAGAGGCTGTCCAGTCTATAAGGAGTTAAAAAACCGGATCAACCAACGGGTGGCTTCCATACGTACTCATAATGTACCGCAAGAACAGCATCCCCATGCACAATATGGTAAACAATCCAATATCGAAGCTATGATAGCGTCGATGCAACAAAGATGAATTTCATGACTTTCATGCAAAACACAATGCAAGAACTCATGCGAAATCAAAGTACGCTGCTCAACCTGCTTGCTACTCAGCAAACAAGATAATGACCTTACTTAAAATAGCCCTCTGGAATGCAAATGGCATTCCTCGCCACAAACTAGAGCTGTCAAAATTTCTTAAGGACAAGGAAATTGACATAATGCTCCTTGCTGAAACACACCTAACTAATAGATATAATTTTGACATTTCGGGATATACCTTTTATTGCACGAATCATCCAGATG